TTTTTTTTTTTTTTGTAGTTTTTTATTCAGTGAAACTTTCTTAAAAACTCTCGCGTTGGGGGATTTTAGGAAAATCGTTTTACCAAAAATTGAAGATAGTCACCATCATTAAGGGGTCTTTACATTGAGTACAAATACATCCTCTTAGCTGGTAGGAAGCAGGTTTCCCTATACTGTGTCTGAAAGTGAAAAAATTCAGTAAATCCCAAAGTAATATGGAAGCAGTTTCAGATTCATTGTTGGTTCTATATGATATCCTGTGTTTTTTCTTCTAGTGAGATCGCGTAGTATAGGTGAACTTTTAACTCCAGCAGCTCCTTTTGACAAGAAATGTGGTCGTGAAAACTGGACTGTTGCTTTTGCTCCAGATGGTTCATACTTTGCTTGGTCACAAGGACATCGAACAGTAAAGCTTGTTCCATGGTCCCAGTGCCTTAAGAACTTGTAAGACCTTTTTTTAAATTTCTGGAATTTACTGTTGTCTCTTAATGTAGGGTAATAAAACATTTCAATATTTGTTTTTCCTTTATAGTGTTATAATGTGTTTTAATCATAGGCAATACATTTATTTTAAAATTTGTGTAAAGAATTATCTAGCCTTATTTATACATTGTATAATATTTTCTTGGCTATTTATCTGTTCTTGTGTGTATTAAGAGGCAGATTAAGCCAGGCATAATACACATGCCTGCAATCTCAGCATTTGGGAGGCTGAGACAGGAGGATCTTGAGTTGAGGCCAGCCTGGGCTATATAGCAAGTTCAAAGGCAGCCTGGGCTATGTATTGAGACCCTGTCTCTAAAAAATCAGAACAGATGAATTATACCTTGTTAGTGTATATATTCTGTTGTAACAGAGCCAGGTGACCTTTGTTATGTGAAACTTTTTACATTCACTTTGGGTTTCATAGCATTTTATTGTATAACAGTGGTGAACAGATCATATGCATTTTTATGTACCTATCTATGATCCCTTTGCTTGAATTGAGTTTAGATATTTGTGTTACTGGAATTTTTTTTTCTTATTTATACTTTTGCATTTAGGTTAAAGGAGTCTCAATTGATAAAGTGGTTTTGAGGAAAATTTGAGAGGCAGATGAGTTATAAAATTACTTTCTCATTGAACTACTTTTCCACTACTGAAAATTTCTGTCAATACTTGATTTTATCCCATGATTCTCTTGTAGTTCAGCTAGCAAGTTTTCCCATTTCCATCTGTTGGGTTCTGTTGTTATTCATTATCATTATAATCACCTTGAGGTTATTGTGATAAATGTTTATTGTTAATGTCTGCAGGATTCTAGGATAAATAATTCTGTTTCACTCTTTTACCCCCTCAGTCTCTTGCATGGCACAAAGAATGTTGCAAACTCAAACAGTTTAAGATTGTCAAGACAAAACAGTGATGGTGGTCAAAAAAATAAACCTCGTGAACATATTATAGACTGTGGAGATATAGTCTGGAGTCTTGCCTTTGGATCTTCAGTTCCAGAAAAGCAAAGTCGCTGTGTAAATATAGAATGGCATCGGTTCAGATTTGGACAAGATCAGCTACTCCTTGCCACAGGATTAAGCAATGGTCGTATCAAAATATGGGATGTATATACAGGTATAGATTCATAGTTTTAAAAGTAAACCTGATTGCTTTATAATGTAGGATACTGCTAATATGCAAATATATGATTTGAGGGGGTTTTTTTGTTTGTTTGTTTGCTTGTTTTTTGTAAGTCCCTCACTCACCTGCGTTCTTTCTGACCTGGTTTAACATTTCCCACACCTTGGAGGATGTGGTGCAGGAGAATTGTGCTGTACCGTTTGGCTTGAAAGCTGCAGTTCTACAAGGTTGCTCTCTTTAATCCTTAGGTGTTCTGCCAGGTTGAGCCCTCTCAGTCTCTTAGAGTTTTAATGAACTGAAAGCAAGACTTGCTGCTTTCAGTGTCTTTTTTTTTGGTACTGGGGATCGAACTCAGGTCCTTGGGCTTGCGAGGCAGGCAGCGGAACCACTGAGCTAAATCCCAGGCTGAGTGTGTCTTTAAGGCTTTGATAGCATCTTTAGCTCATGATTTTTTTTTTTTTTTTTAGCTCATGATTTTAATTTAGGAAGGCAGTATAGAATTCGCAGTTTGATGACCCTTCAGAGAATATTATAGTAGGAAGGCATGTCTAGGGAGTGTTTAGTTAATTATTATTTATAAATAGTAATTTAATTTGATTCAACAGGTGTTTTCTTACCTACTTTTCAGTGATAGCTTAGAGCAGTGATGGCGAACCTTTTAGAGATCGAGTGCCTAATACAACCCAGAACCCACTTACTTGTCTCAAAGTGCCAACACTACAATTAAATCTGAATAGTGAGATTTTAGTTTAGAAAAGAACAACTGTTGTTTGACGTTCAGGTGCTGGGGCAGCTTGGCTTGGATGCCGGTGTGCCATCTGTGGCATGTGTTCATCATAGAAGCTTTTAAGGCAAATTAATGTATTTTTGGTTTTGGTTTCTTTTGCTGCTGGGGATTGAACCCAAAACCTTCACACTGAGCTGCATCCCCAGCCCTTTTTATTTTTTTATTTTGAAACAAGGTCTCCCTAAGTCACTAAGTCATCCAGGCTAGGCTTCAACTTCAGTCCTTCTGCCTAACTTTCCCCAAGTCCTGAGATTACAGGCATGTGCCACCATGCCTGACCATATTTTAACAATCATTATCTAAACGTAGAATGTTTTAGTGACTGTTTATCTAAAGTCTAACGAGACAGGTTAAATTCTTTTTTTTCTTAAATTCTTTTATTGGTACATTTTAGGTAAACAATACATTTACATTTATCATTGGGTGCTTAAAAATTGCAGCTGTACTGAACACAGTTTTTCTTATCATTGTTCCCTAACCAATACAGTATAACAACTTTTTTGGGGGGCGGGTTGTGCCAGGGATCAAACTCGAGTCTTTGCACGTGCACGGCAGGCAGTGGAACCACTGAGCTAAATCTCCAGCCCCTACCTAGACAGGTTAAATTCTTTGGGCAATTAAAAGTAAATGTTTTGGCCAGGTGCACGCCTATAATCCCAGCATGCCAGGGTGAGGCAGGAAGATTCCCCCAAATTCAAGGCCAGCCTGGACTGTATAGCAAAACCCTATCTCACAAAAAAGCTTTATTTACTGCCTAAAACAGTATCACCCAAACAATAAAATAAAACAGTGTTGGGCCAGGGATTTAGCTCAGTGGTGCTGCTGCCTGCCTCCCAAGCCCAAGGTCTTGAGTTCAATCCCCCGTACCAAAAAAAAAACAAAACCCCAAAACAACATTGCCTACCATATAGTATGTGTTAAAAAATGTGAAAGAATTTTAAATGAACATTAAAATAAGATAATAAGATGTTCTCAGAACACAGGAAGTGCTACTAATACTGGGGATAATACAGTGGTACCTTTGTTCATGAATGTAATTCTTTCCACGTTTCTGGTTGCAAACTGAATTGGAGGAGAACTAAAATTTCCCTATAAGGTGAGCCTAACCATTGAATTTGATTCGGTTTTCATCTAATTTGGATTGTGATTAGACTCGTGGAAAGAATTAAATTCGTGAATCAGGGTACAGGTCTACATCAGAATTTGGAGCCTTGAGAAAAAGAATTTAGGTAAGCACGTAGAGTTTTTAGAAAACAAAGGTCTTATAGTAGTGGGTAAGAAAAGTACATTTTTTTTCACTGAGACTGTGTTCAAAAATTACTTGTGGGATAGTATTTTTTTGGGAGCTTGGGAAATGAAAGGCAAAACTTGATTTTATATTTTAAAATCAAAACAGATTTACAAGGTTGCAGAGGACTGTAATATTGATTATTATGCCTAAAGAAAGCTATAAAGTTAATCCCACATTTGGCTTGTTTATTTATTTATTTATTTTTTTCTGGTACCAGAGATCAAACTCAGGACCTTGAGCTTGCAAGGCAGGCAGTGGAACCACTGAGCTAAATCCCCGGCCCATTAATCATAATTTTTGTTAGCTGATGGTAGGAGATATTTTTTTTCTTTTTCCTTTTTCTTTATGCTGTATCGAATATCAATCTCAGGACCTTGTGCTTGCCAGGCAGATGCAGTGCCACTGAGCTACATCCCTGGCCCTTGGCTTGTCTGTAGAAGTGAGTCTGGCTGGGGCCTATGTGCAAGGTCAGAAGAATTTGCACCCAAATTCTGTTCCCACAACTAAAACCTTCAGACTAGAAGGACAGCATTCCAGTTACAGTCATATATTTTGTCTAGTCTATTCGTAATTTCAGAATGCTTTGTCTTGTCTTTTTTGAGCCTTGTTTACATTAATTTCCATAAAAAACACATGTTGCCTTACCCCAATTGATTGCCAATGAAAGTCAGTGGCTGGGACTGTCCAGCACCTTTGTCGGTTACACTGACATTATTAGTCCTGACACCCCACTTTCTCCCTCAGTTCTGTCTGAGTTCATTGTCCCCTGTGTCACACACTGGACAGGTAGGTATAAAACCTGACTACAGGGGTCTCTAACAAAGGTGATAATAATATAAGGGCTTTCTTGATATTAACTTGATCCATGAGTTTGTTTACATTTCAGAAATTGTCTTTCAATTTTTCTAATAAACTTATAGCTTTGCTAAACTGGGAAGAATACATTTTAAAACATTGTAAATAGTGAATTCTTGCAAGTAACAATAGTAGCACTAATAAATGTTGGCATCAGTAAATGAATACTTTGCACTGGTAAACCAATGAGAATTTCTTTATTTTTAAAAAGTAACCCTATTTCTCAACAGCTGAAAATAACTGTCTTTTTTTTTTTTTTTTTAATCTTCCATCATGTTTAGGAAAACTCCTCCTTAATTTGGTAGATCATACTGAAGTGGTGAGAAATTTAACTTTTGCTCCAGATGGGAGCTTGATCCTGGTATCAGCTTCAAGAGATAAAACTCTCAGAGTGTGGGACCTGAAAGATGATGGTATGTCTTTATTCCATGCTGTAAAAAGATTGGTTTCTTGGTAGTACTGTTCAGAGGGTTTGGGAACATCTTGGCATTTAACTTTAAAAGTGATCAGACATTTGACCAGAATTTCCTCCTCCCTGTTCAACCATTTGTTCCCTTTCCTGTATAAATCAAACAAAAACATAAAGTGAACCAGAATAGGAGCCAGCAGTTACTATAAGTGAACTATGCAGAAACTATTCATTCAGAAACTAACCATTCAGATCTCTATCAGCTACTCGAGGACAAAACCTGGATCATTTTAGGGTTGTTCATGAACTGGTTTGTGTTTACTTCCTTTATCTTAGGGTTATTAACTTCCTGCATTTACTTAGTGAAATTTTTTTTAAGCAAATTCAGTAATTAATAAAATTTAGACTAAGACGTGATTTGTGGACTAGAATTAATAGCATTGTAAATGCTAGTAAGCATAGGTTAAGAAATTTTTATGAAAAATAAAAGATTTTTTTACTCTCCAGTACAATAGTAATGTATGTTCATGTCAAGTATTCACCTTTTTCTGAAACTTGATATTTATGATACTTAGAGAGTTTTAGAGAGGCTACCTTGTTTGAGAGGCCCAGAGATGAGCATTTCTTCCTCTTTTCTTATCTCCTAATGAAACTGTTTATATTTTAAGCTAAAATCTTGTATTTAAGTAGGATGTGTTGGTGCTCAAGTCTCAAATTGGAAGTTGATAGACTTGCCTAGGAGTAATATAGTGTATACTGAATGTGGAAGAAAACAAACTCTCAGATTTAGAGCCATTGTTCCACCTGATGGATTGCTTGATAAAATAGTGTATGAATATTCCCAAATCCTGACATACCTAGACTGCATTTTATCAATTCTCTGATTGCTCAGTTCTGTTTCCCTCCCCCAAATACTGAGAATTGAACTCAGGGTCGACTTTTTTTTTTGATATCGGGGATCGAACTTGGGTCCTTGTGCTTGCGCAGCAGGCGGTGAAACCACTGAGCTAAATCCCCGGCCCTCAGGGTCAGCTTTTGCACTGAGGTACAGCCCTAGCTTGTCCTTTTATTTTTTATTATTTGAGAACGGGTCTCACTAAGCTGTTAAGTTGCCCAGGCTGGACTCAGACTTGTGATCCTGCTACCTCAGCCTCCCAGAATGGCAGACCTGCAGGCATGCGCCGCCATGTCTGGCTGGTTGCTTAGCTCTTGAGAGGCAGAGTTAAATAATGTAAGCATAGTTGTGTGCTGTGGGTATAAGAAAAACAAGGACTTTGGAATGGAATGTAGATTATCAAAGTGGAAGAGGGTGAAGAGGCATTTTGAAGATGTTCAACAAGTCTTAAACTTGCTGTATTTCAGCTCCTTCATTTGTAGAATAAGAGAATTGGACTAAAAGAATAAAAGATGAAGGGTCACAGGTATTTAAAGGGCTAGGTGTTATATACTGAAGGTTTAGGGGCCATGCTGTCTCTCCCATAGTAGTACAGCATAAACAAATGGACATGATTGTATTTATATGGGTAAACTTCATATTGTAAAATTTTGTCTATAAAAATAAGCAGGTGGTAAATATTGCCCAACTATTATAGATATATTACTTTTAGCTGTTAACGTTTGTGGCTTGTGTTTTACTGCCATTTTTAAATGTTACTCATTTGAAATACATTTTTGGGTTGACACAAATATTTGTTTTTGTTCAGGAAACATGATGAAAGTATTGAGAGGGCATCAGAACTGGGTGTACAGCTGTGCATTCTCTCCTGACTCTTCTATGCTGTGTTCAGTCGGAGCGAGTAAAGCAGTATGTGTCAAAGTTCTTACACATTGCTTATGAATTGGATTTTAATGATGTATGCATAATCATTTTAAATCTAAGTAACCTATTAAGTCTGTGCTCGGTGTCATGAATATCTTATTTGTTTTATTTTATGATGGAGAATTTGCATGAGGGAAATTAAATATAGTGAGAAGTTGAATTGCTCTTAGAGATAATATAAAATGAGGGGTATATCAAATTTATTTTGTGTAAGGTCTAGGAAAGTTTATGTGCTATACAAGAGTTCTAGTTCATATGTTAAAACATTCCCTTGCTAATTATTTTCTTCTCTGTTGTTCTATTTTTGTCCAGTTTGCTGTTTTTAAAGTTTTGAGTCCCAGCTGGTCCTGGACATTTAACTGAAAAAAGTAACATAATAATAAAAGCACTCATGTATGTCCTAGAGTGAATTATAGATGAAACTTAAATTGTCTGTCTTATGTAGCATACCTGTAGACAGCTTAAATAAAATTGACTCTTATGAGGGTTATGGTATTTGTTGTTAAACTCTTTAGTTTACCAGCTCTGAGTTAGTATAGTTAAGAGGATCTTAGTAGCTTCAAGTATTTATGAAAGGTTGAAGTCCAAATACATGTGATGATCACAATACACTTTGAATTAATGGGGGAGGGTGGAAGCTAGTTAAAATGCATTTTATTTAGCCAAGAGGTATGTTATAATGAAGTTAGAAATGTTGAAAGTTAAGAACAAAATAGTTTAGTTATTTAAAAATCATAAGAACAACAAAGCTAGATGTTGACATTGCTATTTTAGGCTGTGTGTTTTCCATATGCTTCTTGCTTTCCCTGTCACAGGTGGTGGCAGCAATATTGGTGTGATTGAGGTTATGCTGGCACCACTCGCACACAGGCGCACAATGGTGTTAGCTGGGCAGAAAGAGTGGCATCTCTGGCTACCGGGCTGGGGGCGACCTTTACCGTAGGATGAAGTAACCTTGCATTCGGCTGCAAGGTGTACTGTACGTACACAGGTGCTGGTCGGCGTCCACTTTCTGCTTTTCTTTCTTTCTTTTTTTTCTTTTTAAAAATAATTTTCCCCACAGTGAAATCCACTGACTCCTCCAAGTAAATTGCTCTTCCAGTTTGATGGAATTGGGAGTCATAACAAGTGAAACCAATTTAATTTGAAGTAATTGGCTTTTAAATGGTTTCTCTGTGCTATTTTTTGGAATTCTTTAAGATTCTAGATACCTTAAGTATTTGATCCAACTTGAAATTTGTGCTTACTTACCTTTGGAAATAATATGTTGTGTCTGTGCAGAAAAAAAGTAGAAAAAGCTTTGCTTTACTCCAAGAGGAGGAGAGATTATCTAATTAAGACTGTTATAAATTTCTAAGCTCACATTTAATATAGCAGATTGAAATAAACAGAACCTTATGTAGGGCTGTTCTGCACAGTCTGACTGTTGATGCTTAGAATCTAAAACTGTATGTGAACTTGTTCTTAAGTAATTTAATTGTTTTATACTGAAAATGACTAATGTATAGTTTGGGAAAAATGATTGGTAAATCTTGATTCACAGAAATGCTGTAATTATTTTCATAAAATAGCATTTTCGTACTGTAATGTGGTTTAACATCCTTGTTTGCCAAAGAAATTTCATTTGGCTGTGAAAATTCTCTTTGCTTGCAGTATCTGTTTCTCTTCCTAGGCTCACGTTGGTGATCCAAGGCTATTGTAAACAAGTGATTATCTCAAAGGGAGATGCCAATGGAGTAACAATTTGTTAACCTTACATTTTCTGTCTGTATATTTTTTAAAAATTTGGTAGTTTCTGGAAAAAAAAGGGGTTTGTAGTACTTAACCCTATTTATTTCCGTATATTTTAGTTAATTACTTTTTGGAATAAATGGGTTTCAGTATAACTTTGTGGTTAAATTGCATTGCCTTTATTTTATGTTTAGGCCTATATTTTAAATTAACATTTAACAGAACCATTTGAAATAGAATTTGCATGTCTGTTTTAATTAACTTAAAGACTGATTTTAATCTATGACACTGAGCATATCTTTAAATTACTCATAATTTATAATGTTTAATTTAATATAATTTTATTAAATTTATCAGTTTTAGTTTAAGATGTGCCATTTTGTCCTATGTGTATCTGAATGAAGCTATAACATTTGCCTTTTTATTTCAGGTCTTCCTTTGGAATATGGATAAGTATACCATGATACGGAAACTAGAAGGACATCACCATGATGTTGTAGCTTGTGACTTTTCTCCTGATGGAGCATTGCTGGCTACTGCATCTTATGATACTCGTGTGTATATCTGGGATCCACACAATGGAGACATTTTGATGGAATTTGGGTGGGTACTACATGAATTACTTTAGTCTATAATCCATCACTGGGTATTACTGTACTTTTAAGAAATTATAAGTGCCTATAATCCCAACACTCTGGGAGACTGAGGCAGGAAGATTGTAAGTTTGAGTCCAAACTGAGTAACTTAGCAAGATGCTGTCTCAAAATGAAAGAATTTTAAAAGGACCTGGAGGTGTAGCTTGATACAAAGGCTCTGGTTTTCATCTGTGGTGCTCCCCCCACCAAAAGTAAACAAAAACAAAGTAGTGGCAGCAGTTATGTGTGTGGTGGGTTTGCTGACATACACCTGTAGTTCTAGGACTCAGGAGGCTGAGGCAGGAGGATCACTTAAGCACAAGAGTTCAAGACTAGCCTGGACAGGGCCAGGGATTTAGCTCAATGAGTCCACCACCTGCCTTGAAAGTGCAAGGTCCAGAGTTTGATCCCTGGTACCAAAAAAAAAAAAGACTAGCCGGGACAACGTAGTGAGACTTTGTCTTAGTTTTTAAAAAAGAGAGGAAAAAAAAAGAGATGAATACTTTGAATTGGTAAAATTAATATATGAAAACAAAGTATATCATAATTTAAAATTTTCCTGTTAATTAAGCTCTGAAATAATAGAAAGTTTTAGATTATATTCTGAAAATCAATTTGGCTTTCATGATAGAGGTCTTGATATTTAACAGTACCCAGTAGGAAGTGATAATTATATTTAGAGTTTCATGTTGGGGAAAAATAGTTAAAATTAAAGTTATACCTAATCTTAGCATTTTAATCATATTGTGAAAAGGTCCCTGTCATTTAATTTGTATCAGCTCTGCTCAGCCTTCTTAGTTGTATTCATTAAGGCTACTTTATTCAAAGACAGATGTGCAATGTACTTGGGTAATTTGTTTCTTGAAATTATTCCGAGCCATTGAAAAAACCTGTGTTTGCCCTCAGGCACCTATTTCCCCCACCTACTCCAATATTTGCTGGAGGAGCAAATGACCGATGGGTGCGCTCGGTATCTTTCAGTCATGATGGACTGCACATTGCAAGCCTTGCTGATGATAAGTAAGTGTTTTAATTATAGCTTATTTCTTCTTAATTACTTTTCATCCTTCTACTTAATGAAAATACTCAAGTCAAAAGCCCTTTCTTACCAAGCATGGTGGTGCATGCCTGTTATCCCAGCACTCTGAAGCCTGAGGCAGGAGGATCACTGGGAGTTTGAGGCCAGCCTGGACTACAGGGTGAGGCCCTGTCTCAAAAAAAAACAAACAAACTCTGTAGTCCTAACCCTAGTGTAATGATTTTTCCTCTGGACAAGACCTTAGGAGATGTTGGTGTGTCTTAAAGAATATTGGTTTAACTAGTATCTCTGTAAACCAGTGGTAATGAATGCCTTTTTCTGTGTTCTTTGTTTAGCTGACTTAGGCAAACGAGACACACTGTTAACCATCTGTTTTTGCCCAGCCCACAGAGGTTTTAAAAAAGTAATATCCTATGGAGAGTGAACCAAAAGGAAACTTCTAAGCAGAAATAGTAAACAGAGTAATTTACATCCATTGCTGTTGAGACTAGATGAAATAGCATGTGTGAGAAATGTGCTGCTTATAAGAAGCAGAAATTAGTTACAGCCATTCTATTTTTTTATGGTTTGATCACATCAATACATACAACTATTCATTATCGTTTTTCCAGAATGTTAGCAAAGAGACGGGAGAGTTTTTAATTTGCCAGTAATCATTTTATTTGTTAACATTCTTTTTTTTTTTTAACTTTTGTTTTTTATTTTACTTTTTTCTTTTTTTAATTTTATTGGTGTTTTGTTAACATTCTTTTTTTTTTTTGGTTATTTGGTACTGGGGATCAAACTTGGATCCATGCGCTTTCGAGGCCGGAGGTGGAACCACTGAGCTAAATCCCCAGCCCATCATTCTTGAATATAGTTCCCTGCTGCATTTCTAGATACACTCTACCTAGGTGAAAAGGCTTTGTAAGCGCCTTGGAAGGGGTAAAACATTCAGATTTTAAGGGTAAGAAAACAAGAAGAAAGCTTTTTAAAACAAGTTAACCTAATTACCTGTTAGTGATTTGTGTTTATTTTGTGATTCAACACAGTGGTATTTCTTTTTGAATTTTTTTTTTTTTTTAGACAGGGTCTAAAGTAGTAGTTCAGGCTGGCCTTGAACTCACTATGAAGCCCAGTCTGGCCTTGAACTTGCAGGGAGCCTCCCGCCTCAGCCTCCCCAGTGCTGGGATTACAGGTGTAATCTACCATGTCCAGCTCTGAATTTTGTTTCTTTGGTTTTTTTGGGTTTTTTTGGTACCAGGGATGGAACTTGGGACCTTGCACTTTCGAGGCAGGCGGGGAACCACTGAACTAAATCCCTGGCCCCCAGCTCTGAATTTTAAAAGTTACTTCTACCTTAAATTTCATACAAGATGCTCACTTGATAATTTGTTTCCAATACAGAATGGTGAGGTTCTGGAGAATTGATGAGGATTATCCAGTACAAGTTGCACCTTTGAGCAATGGTCTTTGCTGTGCCTTTTCTACTGATGGCAGTGTTCTAGCTGCTGGGTAAGTATGTTTCTTTTCTTAGAAGGGCAAGTTAAGGTCGGTTTTAAAACAAAGCAGCCAGTAAGTCCCTCATGAGTGCTTTTATAACAGTGTTTGTGGTAGTTATTTTCTCTCACTGAGGTACAATGCCTGACTAAAGTTGAAGGAGGAAAGATTTATTTCAGCTCAGTTTGTAGAGGTTTCAGTCCATAGTTGGCTGGCTCCAAGGCAGGGCAGCATTGCAGAGGAGAAACAACTCATGGAATGGAAGCAGAAAGAGAGCAATGGAGGAGGAAGTGTATGAGCGCACGAATACACACTCCCAGGCCACTCCCACAGTGACTCACTTCTTCCTACCAGATTCACCTCCCAACATCACACCCATCTGTAAACCCATCAGTGGACTAATCCAGTATCACATGCACCTGTGAGCACATGAGGCTTTGGGGTGACATCTTATATAGACCATAACATTATGATTGCCTTGTTATAGAGTATATCATTGGGTAGTTCTCCTTAGATTTTTTTTTTTTTCTTTAATTAGGTTTTAAGGTAAAGTTTGGGAATCTAATACGTAGCCCCCGATGATAGTTGCCTGAATTGTAGGGACTTTGAAGTACATGTACTTGAGTGGGCTTATGCTTCTTGTTTCTGTTTAGGACACATGATGGAAGTGTGTATTTTTGGGCCACTCCAAGACAAGTCGCTAGTCTTCAGCATTTATGTCGCATGTCAATCCGAAGAGTGATGCCCACTCAAGAAGTCCAGAAGCTGCCAGTTCCTTCCAAAGTTTTGGAGTTTCTTTTATATCGTGTTTAGAAGACTACCTTCCCTAGTGGTAGGGACTGACAGAATATACTTAACATGAACCTCAAGCTTTACCAACTTTAAGTATCTTTTTAAAGGTTTAGAAGATTTATTTAATTTGATACATTCTTGTACTGCATTTTACCAGTTGAGCTTTTAAAATATTTATAGACTATAGAAGTATTTCTGAACGTATTAAATGTAAATTTTTTTAGGTTAACTGTGAAAACATATACATACATGTATATATTTAGATATAAACTGCTATGTGTTGAATGGACTCTTTTGCTTTTCTGATTTTTAGTTCTGATCTGTATATACTGCTTCAGTAGAGCTACAACATGTATCTTTTCTGTAAAGGGGAAAGAAATTTTTCTTTTTTTAAAAATTTGGGATACTGAATTTGGTGAGAAATACTGACTTAAGAAACCTGAATTGCCTCATTCAAAGTGAACAGGAGCAGACTGACCAGCTAATGAAACACAGTTTATGTATAGGGAAAGGATTTTGTTTTCCTTAGGATGACATCTGAGAGGTGGTATTTGTGACATTAAAAAGGATGTCTTTACCGCATTAAATACTGCTACAGGCCTTAATTTGGAAAAGCAGCTTTCTATCTTAACCCCTGTCCAAAGTTTTGTATGTCTTAGTTAATTTGAAAATCCATCTACTGTATTAATGGCTTGGGGTTTTTTTTTGGTACCAGGAATTGAATGTGGGACCTTGCGCTTGGAGGCAGGTGGCGGAACCACTGAGCTAAATCCCCAGCCCTACTGTATTATTGTTAAATATTTTGTTTATACTAAGGGACAACTATTTTAAGACCATGGTTTTTCTTTAAAAACACGTATTCTGTGTTTCTGCAGAGGATGATATTGGTACCTTGCCAAAGAGAAGCAATACAGTATATCTGCTTTTACCTTCTGTTGTTTATCTTATCTGCAGATATTAAGAATGTATGCATTATGTAAAATGCTTGATTATATATTTTTATTGAGTTTTTTAATTAAAGAATTGTAAAAAGACAACATATTGCAAATGCCTCTTAAATATGATGGTAGTGCTTTTTGTCTTTTTCCATTGTGAGATTACTGGAGCACCACAAGCAAATCCAGGAAAGGGTGATGAAATAGTGCCAGACTAGGGCATTGCTTTAGAGGAGTCTATGCTTCCTGAGTGTAATGGTTTTTGTTTTGAGAGAACTTTTGTGGTAATGCTTATTTTAAAGCATAGAAGCTGGACATGGTGGCGCATGCTTATTATCCCAGCACTCAGGAGGCTGAGGCAAGAGGCTCACTGTGAGTTCAAGGCCAGCCTAAACTACACAGTGAGACCCTGCCTCCAAAAAAAGCCGTGGAATGTAGCTCAGTGGTAGAGCACTTGCCTACCATGCATGAACCCTAGGTTTAATCCCTAGCACTACAAAACCAAACAGCCACCGAAAGAAATCCTCACATGACAAACAAAATTTTCACTAACCATTATGATCTTAAAGGCTTCATTGTTTCCTCTGAGAAATTATTTGGAGTTTCTTACAGTTGGCTCTAGTAAGGGATTTTTAAAAGTATATGGATGTAGCCAGGCACAGTGGCACATCCCTGTAATTCCAGCACTTGGGAAGCTGAGGCAGGAGGATCACTAAGAGTTTGAGGCCAGCCTCAGCTACATAGTGAGTTCAAGACTGGCCTGAACTGCATAGTGAGTGAGACCCTGCCTCAAAAAAACAAAAACTATCACTTCTTGGCCTTTTGGCTAAGATGAAGTGTAAAAAACCAAAAAAAGTATGTAGATAGGAGTTATGAACTTGAAAACCTGGAAGAAAATCTGCCCAAATAACTTCTTGAAAAAGATTTTTTCGTTTTGTTTTGTTTTTTCAGACTGGGTTTCACTGTGAAATCCAGAATGTAGCCCAAGCTGGTCTCGGATCTTATGGTGATCCTCCTGCCTTAGTCTCCTAAGTGCTGGAATTATAGGCATGTACCACCACACCTGGCACAGAAAGCATCTTTTGCCTCTTGTGTTTTTTTTTTTTTTGAAGACAAGTTGTTGCTCTGTAGCCCAGACTGGTCTGGAACTCACTCTGATCCTTCAACTTCAGACCTCATGATACTTTGATTTGGCATTTTACTCTGTAATGTATTTACTTTATAATTTTAAATATGAAAAGCCCACATGGTAGTGCACACCTGTAAGGAGGCTGGGGCTATGAATATTTAGAGTTTGAAGCCAGCCTGGGTTACATAGTAAGGGCAAGACTAGCTAGGACTACATAATGAGAGACCCTATGTTGGAAAGAAGAAAAAAGATACTACTGCCCACACCGTTAAATTACTTTCCACCAATACCAAGATATCTATTTAAAATGTCCACACTTGTTTACAACCTTTTTTTGTGAAAACCATAATGCTAATATTAAAGGAAGTGTGCCCAGGTGTAGTGGTGCAGGCCTGCGATCCCAGCACTTGGGAGGCTGAGGCAGGAGGATTGCTGTGAGTTTGAGGCCCACCTGGGCTACATAGTTCAGGACCAGCCTGAACTACAAAGGGAGACTCTGCCTCAAAAAAAAAAAAAAGAAGTGTGGTATATCAGTCAATAGGATAATAGTTTGACTAAAGGAAGATGTGATTGGGTTCTGGAATCACATTCTAGCTGCATGAAATTAATAATGCCTTTTTTTAAAACTTGTATTGGGAATTGAACCTCAAGGCCCTTGCACAGAGCTCTATCTCCAGACGTTTTTAAAGTTTTTATTTTGAAAAAAGTCTCAGTTTGCTAAGTTGTCCAGTGGTCAAGCTGGGCTCAAGCTTGTGATCCTCCTGCCTCAGCTTCCCAGAGTGCTAGGATTATAGGTGTGTACCACTGTGCTGAGCTGAGCTGATAATGCTTCTTATATTCTTTTGGAGAACTGGTAAGAAATCATTCTTTTGGAGAACTGTCAAGAAAATCATTTTATGTTCTTGCCAAGTGTGGTGGCATACACCTGTAATCCCAGCATTAGGGGGGCTAATGTAGGAGGATCACCATGAGTTTGAGGTCAGCCTAAACTATATAGCAAGAGCCTGACTCAAAAAGAAAAAAATCATTTATGTTCAGATATTGTTTTAATACCTCATGGGGTACATATAATTGTAGAAAATGTCTTGTACTTAGCAACCCAGTTAGGAAATAACAAACCTATAACTTGATCTTGGGTTGGCAAATCTTAAAATTCACAATCCTTGGAATTCCCTGCCTGCTTGAGCTTGAGATAGTTGGATTCATCTAGTTTGCACTGCCCTCAGGGCAGCAGGACCCAAAACCAAAAAAGGGCTAAAGTACACTGGCTAGCATGCTTCTTGGTTGAGGCAGTGGCAGAGACTGCAGCTGGCTACCAGCCAGCACTGGATAAACAAACAGCCCCAGATGTTAAACATTGTCTTCCGGGCCAGAACCATCAAGACTGGATCCAGCCTCCATATTCATCAGACAAGATTTGTAGTTGACACAGTGTTTCCTCCAAGGAGTTCTCACCAGGCTATGGCCTAAGATATTTTAATACATTTTGATTATGAATATATAGATTATAAAAGTATAGTAATGTACGAGCCTACTATTCTGTCAGTGATAAAATCATAGATAAAGTGTCAATTGGAGTATAGTGGGTTTTTTGTTTCTACATTCTTGTCCATCAGAATTAACTGGCTGGGGATTTAGCTCAGTGGTGCTACTGCCTGCCTTGCAAACCCAAGGTCCTGAGTTCAATCCCCAATATGAAAAAACCCAAAAACAACAAAAAAGTTACGAACTAAAGGCAGCAAACAGTAAAACGACCTGGTGAAATGGTCATAACCTTTGCAAAAATCTGGTCAGAACCAGGAGTAAAGTAGTGGATTTCTATTACAGTTCACTGAATAGCTTTGTGTATCTGTCATTTGACATTCATAGAAGTTTAATAGTTGAATCAAAAAAATTAGGTTGATTTGGGGCAGTTGAAATTTTTATTAATTCCAGCACTGTTTACTAGAGACTACAGTTATGATTTTCCTTGTGGTTTGTTTGTTTTTGTTTTTTTGGTACCAGGGATCGAACTCAGGACCTTGCACTTGTGAGGCAGGCGGCGGAGCCACTGAGCTAAATCCCCGGCTCTTACCTTGTCGTTTAATGGTAGAAATCAGGAACTTTTCCCACCTACACTGCCACAGAGAAGCTGTTCTTGTCTGAAAGTAAAGGAACTTTGTTAGGGAAACTTACAATACAGTGTTACCTGACACTGCCTTTACAGTGACTGTCTCAAATGAGGCTGAGCTACCAACAGCTCTTTTTTTTTTTTCATCTTGTACACAATGTTTTATTTGGATGTTAATAACCATCAGCATTGTATGCAAGATTCTCTTACAATGAGAAATTTTCTCATACATCAAAAATAATTTTAATCAGGATAATTGCTGTATTTATGCGAAAACTTTACAAACAATACAGTATGATATATATGTACTCAGTTTCCATGCAAGTATGGCTGCTACATGTATGTCTGGCATTTTATAACATACTGAAAAATTCAAACGAACAGAACAGTTAAAAAAAAGATGATTTAAGATGCCTGACATGTTTATGATTAAAAATCTTGCAAAAAGCAACAAAGCAGTTAACTGGAGGAGTCAACCAATATCAACCCAAATATATACTATGTCCAAAAAGCCCAGGCGTATCCACAGTGTATTGCCTTAAGGATAATTTAATGCTCAAGAAAAATTATGCTTTAAAAACCATAACTTGATTGGAGACTATGTGCACCCAATCCAGCTAAGGGCTACATTTTCTAAAAACCAAGAAACAAAAGCCATTATGTACTATTAGTCCAAGGTAGCTGAAATGATCCAATCTGATTTTGCCACAGTCATTGGTTTTACAAAGCGAAATTTTCTATGAGAAGTTCATTAATTAGAAAGCAATTAGGCAAAAAAAAAAGCAATCAGGCTGGGGTTTTAGCTCAGTGGTTCCGCTGCTTGCCTCAAAAGTGCAAGGTCCTGAGTTCGATTCCCTGGTAATCCCCCCAAGCAATCAAACATACTTTAAAAATGTGCTAAGAAGATTTAATCGGCTTATCTGTTATCATGAGGCATAATCTTAGTACCATACATCAGTCTTTACTTCTCACTAACATATAGTATGCAAAAACTAGCAAGTGGATTTAAAATAGCTTAAAACCGTACGGGTCTACTGTTCAAGAGATAGGAATTAAAATACTTAGCACTGGCCGGAGATTTAGCTCAGTGGTTTCGCCGCCTGCTGCACAAGCGCAAGGACCCAACTTCAATCCCCAGTACCAAAAAAACAAAAAAACAAAAAACTTAGCACTTCCATTCCTATTAACATAAAAACATATCAGAAAATCTTAAACCCTTTTTGTTTTAAGACAGAGTATTTTGACATTTTTGCCTGGTAATGGTTGATTCCATTAAGTCAACTTGAGAATCTGCCATCATTTGCTTTTTATCTTTCCATGCAGAGCAAGTGGTGGTCACTCTTTCCATCTCTCAGCAGCAAGCCAATTCTGCTATTTTTTATAGTACCATATTTTAGAAGTGGAGAGGGAGAGAGTGTGTCAATTGTAAATAATTCAAACTATAGTGTACAATTCTATTTGCCTGTCAGTGATTAAGTTGACAGCACACCATTATATGTCTCAAAAAATTACATAAAATCTCTACCATAAAAGCAAATAAAGACATTCTTTCAAGAAAAAATAAGTGCAAACACCTAAAACAGGCAACTGAAGCAACTCCAACAGCTCTTTCTAAAAATTGTCTTTCAAGCCAGGCTTGGTTGCACATGCGTATAATCCCAGCACTTGGGAGGCTGGGCAGGAGGCTCACCAAGAGTTCAAGACCAGCCTGAACTACATAGTGAGACCCTGTCTCAAAAAACCAAACAAAATTGTTTTTCAAAAATACAGTGTAAGGGCTGGGGATTTAGCTCAGTGGAGCTGTGCCGGCCTCACAAGCACAAGGTTCCAAGTTTGATCCCCGGTACCGCAAAAAAAAAAACT